ACGGCCGTCCCTTACGTTGAAATGGATGCCCGTCCATTATTTTGGTTTTAAAATAAAAGAAAAACTTTGGACGGCTGTCCATATATTGTGGACGGTCGTCCTTTAATTGTGGACGGGTGTCCTAAATGAATGGACGCCCATCCATTCCTTCAACTTTTAAAAGTAGAAGAAAAACTATGAACCAAAGAAGCTATTTTACCATTTCCAGTTCCGCTTGCTTCTTCTTCGCTTTTGATAATTTAACCTCCTTTAGAAGCATTTGCTTCTCATTTGAATCCAATTTAGAACCAAAGAAGCAATTTTACCGTTTCCAGTTCTGTTTGATCAACATACTGTCCTTGCACCAACTTATCTAGGATCGGTGTATATACAGTGAGTGCGAGAAACCATGCATGCGAGGCTACAAAGTAGTACTTTGGTATCTCAAGCTCATCAGCAATTTCAAAAGATTCAGTTCCGAAGAGGTCAAACCACCATTACCCGTTTGTCCTTTCTTCTTCTTCTTGCCACCACTACCACCACCTCCACCAGAAGCAGTTTCCTCCTTGCTTTCACCACCGTTTATGTTAGCACGTTCCTATGGCTTGTCACTGGAAATGGCTTTTTCAGGTGTATCCTGTTTATCATCATTATCCCCACGAATTTCCTGACCATCTTTAGCTTTCTTTTGTTTGTCATTCTTCTTGGGCTTTTCAGGTTTTTTCTCCTTCTTCGTTTCAGGCATTTGTGGCCAGAGCTCGACGTGTTTCTTGATCTTAAGAGCTTCTTAATAAGAGTCTCTGCGTCAACGTTGCCAGTCACTGTAACCTTATATTGCTATGAATCTACGAGGGTGGTATAGACACTTGAAAGATAAGGAAGTGATTTATGTAGTGAACACATACTAGAAATTTAATAATGACTTAAAGAAATATATGAACACGAATAAAGATGAGAGTAGAAGAAATATCTTATACCGTCAATGCCTTTAGAACTTTGCTGACTTTCTTCTTGCAGCCTTCGCAGTGAATAAAATCTTTCAAGACCCATGTCTGTAAAACACAATAGAGATTTGAGTTAAAGAGAGAAAGCCATGAAGTGTTTTTGTACAATTGAATATTACTAAGAAGATACAACTCACCTGGTATTTCAGTGGCTGTGAAGTTTCTTCAGCTGGTTTTGTAGCCATGTCGCAAAGAGAGAGAGAGAGAGAGAG